CTGTACAGGCCTGTACGAAAACAAGCGCTCAGATTCAATACTTCTTGATATTTCAGTTACACGACTGTGTTGTGCAAATTCAAATGCAGGGTTTTGCAAATTGGTAGCATTAATAATATTACATTTTTCTAGATTTATTACTTCTTTAGCTGATGGTGGATTGGGCTGATTACATTTTGGGGGAAAAACCATTTTAACGAGTTCATTCAAATTTTTTTATTTTGATAACCACTAGAAAAAATAGTTCAATTTAATGGTAAAACCTAACAGGATGATTAGAAATCTCAAACAGGTAAATGAATTATAATAATAATTCTATTATTATACCCTCTAGTTCATCTCGTGTCCTGGCGCGGCTGTCCGTGATCTCTCTGATCACTGGCTGAAGACGCTGATCAAGAACCCGTCTGTGCTCTTCCAAGAAATCAGCTGCAAGAGAATCAAGGATAACAAATAAATGAAAAAAACTGAGATCTATATTACTAGTATCTTCTCTGTGATACAGTCTACTGGGAAAAGTCCAGCCTACAGTTGTGTTTGTGTATGCGAGGCTCAAATTGACCTGCAGGGGTCTGAATGCGCAATGCTGAATAACTTCAGCTCCAAAATGCCAGTTCAGTTTGCCCGGTATAAAAATGTCATCCCGAACTGGGACAAAATACAACTGCCACAAATTGACCCTGTTTTGATGCAATCACTCCACTTTTCTTATGTAAATTGTGTTGTTTTTGTCAAAAATGAAACAAGGCTAGGGTTAACTATAAGTACACCTTTGAAAATGGTCTAAATAATAGAGACACCTTAGGTAAGAGTTGCCCAGAAAGCATGAGTTGAAAAGATGGAAAGTTAGCCATGAAAGTAATTCCTGGATTGACATGAAACAACAATGTCTAGAACTGATCCAAGAAGATCAGAGAGAGAGTAAATGCCTTATTCGGCTTTCTGCAAAGGACAAAAAAAGTATCTGCTCTCACATGCACCATGTCCAGAGGCACTGAGTTCAGGAGCTAATCCAAGAAGAAACTCATCTTTTTACCTCTACTGGTATAATTCATGTCAAAATACACCTGCATTTTGACTGTATCCAGGGATGGAGACTGTGAGTCAAGAAGTCGATCCACACACAGCTAAGTAACAAAAAGAAGGTATTATTATCAAATAACCCAGACCTACTGCTTGGAAACCTGGCAATGACTCCACCTATTGAGCTAACCAGGCTCAGCTCTTCCTCCTATAAGTTACCACAGCTGGAACCTGTTTACAGCCTATTCTATGCAAATTATAGATGAATTGGAGAATAGGGGAGGTTCAGTCAAGGTTAATTTATAGGGGTGACCACTAAGGTATGAGTTACCTTTTCCCACCCGCCAGTAAGTGAAAAGGAATGGTCATGAAGATGAGTTTGGTTATCTATGGTTATCTACCCCTACTTCCCCTTTTCCACGTGAACTAAAATTGGCAAATTTCTTTTCTTTTCTCTGTAATCATGTTGTACATCTAAAGGTATAAAAAGTAAAGTAAAGAAAAGTATACATAAATCCCTTTGAGGAGATGAAAGCAAATTTATCCACTCATCAGCAGACATCCTGGGGGTCAACCCCAGGGACAAACAAGGGCATGGCGCAGGTTTTTATGATATTTGCTGCAAATTTTTAGCCCAGGATGGAGGGATTGGATCACAAATTGCACTTTTGTAGCAGGATCGCCCCAAGGAAAGTCCCTTGGCAATTGTAATGCACCTAGTAGAGAAGGACTGGGAGAGAGATCTCAGAATAGACCATAACGTTACAACATGTCCCTGTAAAAGGCGGACTGGCACAGAAGGTACCAAATTTCTTACTATCAACCAGATGAAAACATGCCACTAGGCCTCTGTCAAGTTTGTTTTTACAAAAAGAATTACATGACCTTTGCTTTTTCT